ATATCCCATTAAAGATGATGAAATCATAATCAGGACATTAGATGATATAAATCGCTCTTTTCTCAAACCCTAAAGCAGATTTACCAAAGAGTATTACACCAATCATTGATGATGAGGGGTTATTGTTTAATGGATTTAGAATTACATTTAGGGCAAATTCCCCTATATTCAAAATCGACACAAAAAACTTAATATTTACATTAACGACAGGATTAATAGATTTCATGAATGGCGGGTATATTGGCACTGCCGATTACAAGGATTTACTAGCATACTCCAAATTTCTAGATGCAATAAGAAAGTCAGGACCCGAAACAAGAAGATTGAAAGCAGTTGAAACATATTTGAATAAAGTTATTCCTGATGAAGAGGAATCAGATGATTATGCAGATGATTATCCACCAATCATACAAGAAATAGACGAATTCGAAGACCTGATAGCTAGAGAAAAAAGTGGACAAGGTATAACGTTTTTATCCGACAACAACGAAGAATTGCTTAATAGATTACGAGTAATATTAGCGGCCATGAAGGAAGGACATCAATCGCACAGACAATTTAATGAAGTGAATTGTATATTAAAAAGACTCCTAGAGAAAGGTATCATAGATAAAAATGATTATAAAAGCGTGATTAAAAATGTCAAAAAAAGAACAACTATTCGTCATCACCTCGAATAAATCAGACATCAAATTATCTCTAGATTATGAGTACGAACTCGATCGCAATCAAGAATATGAATTGGGATTAAAGTATTTCTCTGTTTACAATTCCATTAGAAATATCAACGAAAAAAATAACCAAATAAAAATATCAACAGATAATGGAGCTACATTCAAAACCATACGTTTACTACCAGGAAGCTATGAATACATAGCCATTAACGAATACTTATCTGAATATGCAGAAAGCGTCAATGGTAAAAACAATATCGAATTCGAAGGTAATTTGAATCTAAACAAAATAAAATTGATATTAAGAAATAATAGTCAAGTTGATTTCAACGTAGAAAATTCATTGAATACGTTACTAGGCTTTGATAAAAAAAATATACACCCAATCCACTTTAGCACCACACAAAGCTAATATCGAGAATGATATCGATGTGA